TAATCTTTGCACGTATACCATGGGAAAAAGGACGACGAAGTGGCATGAGGAGCAGCAGCGTTCGCTTCAGCTCCGCTAACACCACTAAATTCCTGCCATCAACTGGGTCCCCCGACCCAAATCTTTTACCTAAGGACGGCGACCTATCGAAAGACTTCCAGCAGAACCAAATGTAGGCGAGTCTTTCTTTTAATTCTCACCTCGAGAGGCCGCCGTAGGCCCGGACAAGGGGTAGGCAGAACTAGGCCTGCCCATCACTCCGCATTCTGAACATGGCGAGTACTGAAACAACGCCGATCGAAAGGTGCACCGAGAACGACGAAAACAATAGCATGGAGCTAGAAACCAACAAGAACAACGCAAGAAAGGTGATAATTCCGGCGAAAAGATTCCGTAGTCAGGACCGGGACGATAATTTCGAGATCAGCGACGACGAGATTAACAGGATAGCTAACATCAACGATAGTTCTCCTCCTGAAACGACAAACAGTTGGACGCGAGTCACATACAAAAAACAAAAACCACAATGGGGAACCCACCTTGAGCGCTTTGACGAACCAAAGATTGTGATTGTGGTGAAACCCACGACGCAAACCAGAATATCGAACATCTCATCGCGGATCCTCATGGACCAACTGAAACAGCTTTTTACAATTCCTTGCAACAGAGACCGACTTAGCTACGATCCCAATCACAGGAACAACACCATAGCCATTACTGTTTGCAGTGAGGCGCACGCAGGAGACATCCTCCAGATGAGCACTCTTACGCTGGGTGACGGCACGGAGGTAGGGGTCCAAACATACAGATCCACCACGGGCCTCATGCCCAGAGGAGTAATACACGACGTGGATGCAGAGTTCACAGCACAAGACATTGTCGACTACTCAGACTCTGACTACTGCAATGTCCTACATGCAAGACCCATTGGGAGGGGAGGCACATTTCTTCTTACGTTCGATGGAAATAGAGTTCCTAGGAAGATCACGCATCGCGGAAGACTGTTCAGAGTATACACGTACAAACCAACAGCCGTCCTGTGCCTCAAATGCCACGGCATCGGGCATAAGGCAGCTGTCTGCACGAGAGAGCAGAGATGTAGGCGTTGTGGTGAACCTCACCCAGAAGGAGAACAATGTGAAGATACGTATTGCCCTAACTGCCATGTGTCGGGACATACAGCCTTCGACCCCAACTGCGAGACCAAAAAAAGCACGGACGCAAAGCTACAAAGAAGAGCACAGGCAATGACACAGACAAAAAGCAAAGCAACAAATGTGGCAAGTGCGTCTCCATGGAAGAGGATGGCTACTGCCCTGCACAACCAAGGCACAGTTAAAGGAAGAACATCCTTTTACCAAAACCGCTTCTCCACCCTACAAGACCTCGAAGAGTTTCCGCCGCTGGAAAACACCGGCAGTACCAAGAAGGGCCCCACCGGCACCAACTGCACGACATACAAACAGGATCTACCAAACGCCAATGCCAACATGGCCAAGAGAACGTCTTCAACGAACAAGACATCGATCGAAGCCAAAGAAAATCAATTAAAGGAACTTGAAAGACGTGTGGCCCAGCTCAAAGTGGAAATTGAAAAAGATAAACAAGAAGAAGAACGTGCCAAGCAACGCAGACAAACAGAACTGGAAAAAAAGAAGCAAGATGCGATCAAGAAGAGTGTTGAACAAACGATGGTGCTAATTCCCTCCTTCACAAAGAACCCAACACCGTCAGAAAACCCGCCGATCTGTGCGGTTACCCAAGCTACCCAAAGCGGGAATTGGGAAGAGAAAGTGCTGCGCTTCGTAGAAACACAAGCTCAGCAAACGCAACAAACACAGCAAATGCTACACCAACAAATTCAGCAACAAATACAGCAGCAGCAACAGATGCAGCAGATGATGCAGCAATTTCAAATCATGTTTATGCAGTTCCAGAAATCGCAAGTACAACAATGCAGCATAGAGGATACCTCCACCCCGACCCACAATGCAGAACAAACCATCTAGGGATTCCCGGAAGACTAAGACACTCGATTTTCTCCAATGGAACTGCCGGGGCCTCCGAGTTCGCAGGGCGGAACTTAATTTACGACTGCAACAAGAACCTAAAGATGCACTACTATTACAAGAAATAAATGGGGACAACATCGGTCTTAGAGGATACAGAAGCTTCACATCACCCTCAATCATCCACAAAAAAGGCAAGAAAGAAACGGTCCGAGCCCAAGTAGCGGTGTACCTAAGAAAACCACTGCCATATGAGCAATTAGACACTACTCAATGGTGCAACCAAACCCAAGAAATAATAGCAGTCCGCACAACAGATAACGACATCAAAATCATCCTCATATCGGTATACTACAGACCAGCACTTTTCACGAACGACGAGCACAGCTGGCTAACACACTTTGTTAACACGTATCCCAAGCACCACATCGTAATTGGGGGAGATTTCAACGCCTGGCACGCGGACTGGGGACAAGACCAACCCAATGAGAGAGGCGTCAAAATTCAAGAAGAATACGAAAAAGCAGGGCTCAACCTACTGAATGACCCCGAAATTAAAACCAGGCTCGGACAAGGGCCCAAACAGAAAGACACAACACCCGATTTAACCCTTGCATCGCAAAAGTCTATAATAACCTGGAAATGCGATAATAATGACCCATGGGGAAGCGATCATTTCCCAATACACATAACACTAGAACTCGGAAGCAAACTTAAACTGAAAAGAAAGAGCAAGACCATCATCTGGGATGATTTTAGAACAATCTTGAATCAAGAATACCACATAACTAACATAGACGAACTAACCCACGCTATGAAAGAAGCATCTGTAAAAGCGACAATTCAGAAAGCAGTAAACGCGGATGGCCCAAATCCTGACACACACCTTCTCTCACTCTGGCGACACAGACAGGAACTCATTGACAAATATAGAACATCCAGAAATCGCAAAGACTTAACTGAGGCAAACAAGCTTGCAAAGGAAGCACAATCTTACGCCAATAAGCTATGTATCGACAATTGGAACGACTTATGCGAATCATTTAACGAGCATACGTCAATAAAACGAATGTGGAGTATTTGTAACTCTATGCTCGGAAAAAAGAAAGAGTGGGGTATCACATCCAATATAGCCCTACGAAGCAGCAAAACGCTAGAAGAAGTACTTGAAGAAACGGGCCCACTTTTCTCCCCTCAACCTGCAACCAAGCCGAACGCAATAATCTACACCCCAACAGCAGTAGAAGACCAACACCACTACAACTGCGACTTCACCGTCTGGGAGCTTGAAGCAGCAATTGCAAACGGCAGGACTAGAAGTGCACCAGGCCCTGATCAAATAACCAACAGTATGTTAAAGAACCTACCCGAATGTGCGAGAGCTGCGCTATTGGAGCAGATCAACATCATCTGGAAGTTAGGTGAAATGCCAGAGGACTGGAAGATGTCGTGGGTCACACCCATACCAAAACCCGGAAAAGTCCCAGACAAACCTCAAAACACAAGACCAATATCCCTGACGTCGATACTGTGCAAGCTCGTCGAAAGGATGACACTTGCTAGGATCGATTGGTTTACGGATAAGAATGGTACATACCACCCGGCCCAAACGGGATTCAGAAAGAACTTGGGAACGCACGACAGTCTAATACTACTTAGAGAAACAGTATTGAAATTCACCCCCGAAGCCCACAGTACGAGAATGTTGGTGGCTGTAGACATCAAGAAAGCGTTTGATTCGCTACCACACGACGTAATAATCAAGACCATGGAGACACAAGGAATCCTAGGAAGACCCCTTAGCTTAATCAAGACATTTCTCAAAAATAGAAGATACGTAATCAAAGTGGGCAAAGATCAAAGTTGCACAAAGAGCAATGACATTGGAGTGCCGCAGGGTTCTGTCCTTTCCCCCACGCTCTTTAATCTAGCGATGGCACCGCTAGCTTGGAAGTTGGACGAGGTAGAGACACTCCATTTTACTATATACGCAGATGACATCACAATCTGGACGACACAAGGCACGAAAGAGGAACAGGTCGAAACACTGCAGGCAGCACTTCACATAATAGAGAGCTTCCTAAAAGAAGTAGGCATGAAACCATCAGCAGAGAAGACTAAACTCCTGATATTTGGTAGAGAAAGAGACAACACGAACCCCACTCTAAAATTCGACGAGCAGACAATAGAAAAGAGTGACGAACACACCATCCTCGGAATCCACGTCAACACCAAACTCAATCCCGACAAATGGATCAAAAGAATGCGCGACACATGGAGACACGGCACTTCGATTATCAGAAGAATAGCGAATAAACACGGCGGAGCAGGTGAGGGAATTGCCAGAACGATAGTTCAAGCGGCACTCATACCGAAAGTCATGTATGGCTGTCGCTTTTACAGATTGACACTGCATCATTGGGCCCGTCTCGAAACCCTGATGAACGACGCGAGAAGATGTATTTCGGGCCTTCCGAGACAAACAAGACTGATAGAACTACACAAATGCGTGCCATTTCCATCGCTGAAAGAATTGGCCTCCACGCAAGAACAAGCACAAAGAGTCAAGATGCAACACACCAAGCAAGGCAGAGAAATCGCCAAACTACTTGGTTGGAAACTCGAGAACAATACACCCATACCAGACCAACTACCACCATGGGAGAGAATCGACATAGCCCAATCGGCCCCTATACCACGAAAAATGAACGGCGAAAAAAACAAAGAAAGACGGCGACACAAGGCAATGAAGCACGCCGAGGAAGTAAAAGCCATTATCGAATGTAACGACTCACATACCATCGTCTGCTACACCGACGCAGCCTTCAGTGAACGAGGAAATGCTGCTCTTGCGTGGTACGTTCAAAACACGAAAACTACTTGCACAAACATGCACCGTACTGCAGAACAGCGCAAGAGGCTGAGATCACGGCCATTGAAGAGGCCCTGAATGCACTAGGACAAGAAGCCCAATGCGGCACGAGCATTATCATGTTCACAGACTCCCAAGACGCCATCCGTTCACTGAAGACGCATCAAGAAACGTGCAAGGCGATTCAGAATATTACGACTACGGCCATCAAGCTAAGGATGCGCGACATCCGAGCCTCGGTACGCTGGATCCCGGGTCACGAAGGGATCGAGGGCAACGAGATAGCCAACGAGGCAGCAGGAGAGTTAACTCGTTCCTTCCTCCGCTGCCTTCAATGCCACTCCGAAGCCCCCGCGCCCTCTCGAACCCATCGAAATCCACCACAAATGTCACAACCAATCGAGTCTCCAAAGAGCGAACCTGACGGCTTTTACGACCCTTTTTGGGAAATTAAAGCAGCCAGGATCGCTCTGAAGAAAACTATCGACAAGCACAAAGACGTGGCACGGGAAAGCCTTCCCAAGGGATTCCGAAGACACGAATCTGTCCTGCTAAGAAGACTCCAAGCAGGAGCTGCAGTCACTCCATCAATAACGAAGAAATGGGCGGACGCTAAAAAGAAGAAGAAGAATCCGGACTTTGTACCAAAACCAGACCAGTGCAAGTACTGCCTAGAGAATCTCAGAGCAGACACTCAACACTTGGTCTGGGAATGTTCAAAGCTCGACCAAGAACGCAATGACGCCCTGGGAGCGCTCAACCATGAAGACAAACCTTCAACACTCGACGAATGGGTAAACCCGGCAGGAGACTCAGAACGACGCAGCCTCATCCTCCGATCGCTGGTCGACTTTCTGAAGACGGCCAACCTCGGCAGAGACTTGTAGCTGCCACAATTACAACCCTACGCGCTTCCATCATCCTTATAACCCCCTCCCCTCTGGCCCTACCGTAGTGTAAACCGCCAGCTGAATTTCATTTTTAATAAACGTTGTCTGACCTGACCTGACCTGACCTATACCATGGATGGTTGACACCGGGTGTAGTGGCACAGAAAACGCCCGCTTTCCTAAAACCGCGGCTTTAGGAAAACGGACGTTTTCTGTGTGACCCCGCGGGGTCACACTGCTTATACAACATAAAAAATACAGTCTGAATACAAATTCAAATGCGAGTTACCGCGAGATCCGTGTTTCGAGTGCCGCATGGCAGTGATTTCAAGGAGAAACTATATAGGCACGGGCTCGAACTATGTATATTGCGGTGATAAGTGTTTGCAGACTGTCTTTTTTGGTGTCTTGAATATCGACGTTATTTTCCGCGATTGCCTTTTGAAGATCATCCCTTGGTCCTGCGTGTTCTGGGAATACCCGTGAAATGTGCTGCAGATTTTCTCTCACGTCAAGCCTGGTTCAGACAGTTGCGTTTGACTGCGTGTGACTGCGTTGCGGCTGCGAGAAACCAGGAAATCCCTGCTGCTTATATCGCGTGCCAAGATGATTCCTTGAATTGGATTCCACGCTTCAGTGGAAGCACAGATGTGCCGATGGCTCGCTTTCGGTTCTCGACGCAACGCAGTCAAATGCACTCAAACGCAAGTGTCTGAACCGGCCTTCACACTGGCGAAAGTTTGGAGTAGACCCACGTAGAATGAGATGCAAACAGAAGTATAGGTGTTTCCGCAGCCAGTTCGTAAACTGTGTACTAAAGATTGTTGCTTTCTCGCGAACTTTTTTCTTGAAATATTGCGAGGTGGTCATTAGGGATGTCGCGAACCACCCCAAGTTCGATTTCGAAAGGTTTTGATATTTGCGAAGCGAACTGAGGTTCGATTTCGAAAAATTTCGATATTTTCGTACCGACCTAGGTTCGAATTCGAAAAATTTCGCTACTTTCGATCACAGTGGAGTTTCGAAATCGAAAAGTTCGAAGCTTTCACGGTTTCTAAAATTTCGAATTCGAATATTTCGAATATTTTTTTTTACTTCAGGTTCGATAAATTCGAAGATTTTGAAATTCTTTGGAAACAAAATTCGACAACTTCGAACGCTTCGAATTTTTATAGACATGAAGTTCGAACAATTCGAAGATTTCGAATTTCTTTCTGCATAAAGTTCGAAAAGGTCGAAGGTTTCGATTCTCTTTTAACGCTAAATTCGAAAAAAAAAACTTTGAAGATTTTGAATTTCTTTCCAGTCCAAGTTTTCAAAGTTCGAAGTCCGGTTTTCAAGTTCCTCCACAGTTTGTTTCAAATAGCGTTTTCACGACTCACTGGTTTTCACAAAATCAAGTTTAGAAAAGTTAGGGTGTGATATCTAGATTCTGCGAAGTTGGTCAGGCAATTAAATGAGACGAAGATTGTCCCGGATGTGCTGGAATATTTGCCAGTGCAGAGTGACGTGTGACCATGGATCAGTAATTGTGACTGCCAGCTCGGGGGGGGGTCTTTAACCTGCATCACGCAGTAGTGATCACACGAACACACTGTTTTACGAGACTCATCCAGTTCGAAACGGCCAGGGACGAGCAGGAGGTTGAGGCTCAGAAAAACCTTGAAGCGACCTGGCAAACTACCTCGCCACCCCTTGCACGCTGATAGTAATCCGATCGAACGCCGCCCGAGTGACGCTGGCATATAGTAAGTTAAAGGAGCTGTGCAACGATATTCATTTGGAATGTTTTTCACTATACACGAGCTTACTGGCACTAGTGGGACTCAAGGATACTCGCACGCAACGCCACTGGCCAAGAAAGTCCTTTGTTGCGGTGAAATTTCAAGGACAAAAGCGATCATTTTCATTCAATCTCTCCTTTGCAAAATTTGATGACGTAACGTGGGGATCGCAGAACACCCAAGTGACGATATTTGAATGCGGTTCATAGATTGGACCCGAGCCCTGCGTGGGCACTCGATTTGGGCTCGTGATAATTACTAGCTTGAGAAGCATTCGGGTAGTCGCCCGCGTCCAATCGCTGCAACGACGACAATAGCCGAGCCATAACAATGTCTGGAACTCAGCGCGTGTCCTGTGCTTTGCCAACCCCAGCGCGTGGCTATGATCAACATTGGCGGCATATAATCGGCTCCAGATCGCGTGGCCACTTGTTCTGGCTGCGAGTTGAGGGGGTGAACGCTTCTCGTTTTTCTTTAATTTTTTTTCTGGGACTTCTATTGCGTGGGATGAAAAACGAACGCGTGTTTCATAGGTCATTAACGTTGGGGATCCGTTTTAAGCGGTATTTGCGCAAAGTACAAAAACTGTTGCATTGCGCCTTTAAAGGAGCTGTGCAACAATATTCAATTGGAATGTTTTTTCACTATGCACGAGCTTACTGGCACTAGTGGGAGTCAAGGATACTCGCACGCAACTCTGCTGGCCAAGAAACTCCTTTGTTGCGGTGTAATTACAAGGTCAAAAGCGATCATTTCAATTCAATCTCTCCTTTGTAAAATTTCTTGACGTAACGTGGGGATCGCAGTACACCCATATGACGATATTTGAATGCTGTTCATAGATTGGACCCGGGCATTGCGTGGGCACTCGATTTGGGCTCGTGATAATTACTAGCTCGAGAAGCATTCGAGTAGTGGCTCGTGTCCAATCGCTGCAACGACGACATTAGGGAGTTTTAGTAGATCGTTCCGATACCTCCGATAGCCCCGATAACGATACTATGCATGCACAAGGGAGGCAGCGGCGAAGTATCGGGATATCGTTATCGGAGTCATGGGAACGATCTACTAAAACTCTCTAATAGCCGAGCCATAACATTATCTGAAACTCAGGACGTGCCCTGTGCTTTGCCAAACCCAGCGCGTGGCTATGATCTACATTGGCGGCATATAATCGGCTCCACATCACGTGGCCACTTGTTCTGGCTGCGAGTAGAGGGGGTGAAAGCTGCTCGTTTTTCTCTAATTTTTTTCTGGAACTTCTATTGCGTGAGGTGAAAAACGAACGCGTGTTTCATATGTCATTAATGTCAGGGATCCGTTCTAAACGGTATTTCTGCAAAGTACAAAAATTGTTGCATTGCCCCTTTAAGTTTGTAATTGTCCTGGAGGTTTATTTTCTGGGACGGAGGAATCGCCTCGCAAAAAGCCGACACAACTCGAGGTCGAGAAGCGTTCTACCCTACAAGTGGCGTCGAAAGAGGAAAAACGGGGGGTAAGAGGGTAGCGGGGGGGGAGGGGGGGGGGGGCTTTAGTTTTCTTTCCCCCTTCCAGATATTTCGGACTGTTAAAGAAAACAATACGGGGAAAAGACGGTGGGAGTGTAGGCGAGCTGGTGGTAGCTAATCATGTCGTATTACACCTGAGACTGCGGTGGAAGAAATCGGAAGAACTTTCAGTAGAAGGAACAGACACAGAGAACGTCTCAAACTCAGCTAACTGGTTTATTTCCAGTTAAAAAGAGGGCGTGGTCGAGCTTATTTTAATCTGAAATTATTTATGCATATGTATAGGTACTGTCGCTCTTCACTGCATAAAAGATTGCGTAGATGGTCATTGTTAGAAACTCGTTGTCAGAAGGCACTACTCGTCACATGCTTAGTGGTTCGGAAGTTCAAAGTTACGTTTTTTTCGACCTAAATACCTGTGCCAATAGTAACAAAAAAAAAAAAGAGAGTAAATGCGGGGATAAAAAGCTGGAGAAAATAAAAACTATAAAGAATTCGCCGGAAGTGTTGTATTCTTGCGCATTCAGAGGTTCAGAACTTCAAAACAAGTTTCTTTTACCAAAACGTGTACAGGCTAAAAGAAACACGTCCCAGGATCGTGAAGCGAAAAAAAAAAAAAAAGTTTTCTTTTAATGACGTGCTGAACTTGAACACTATCAGAAATCTTCTCCCATGAGTTAATTTATTCCTTAACGTGAAAAAACAATAAATACATTATTTTGTATTCTGCAGATGGCAATGATACGCACTGTCTGTGACGTTAATTTAAATGCGATACCTTAAACACCTTAGATGAAAATAAATATCAAGTTTAGGGCATAATTGCATGTAGATACATGTTTGGACATTTCTTCGAAACTCACGTTGAATAACAATAATCACATCTTAAGACGGCACTTACCTAGGCTATACATAGATCATCCTTAAAAAAGTATAACATCTCTACCACAAATAGCTTCGGCTACAGCGCGCTTCAAATCTGGCACAAACGATAATCGTCAAAAACCCGTCGTCCGTCCTCGCCCCTTCGGGGATTTATTTCTTTAAACCTAAGCATGCCAGAACATTGAAATAAATGACATTGTCTTTCGTAAGAAGCGCAGCACCGCGTGTAAAAGTTCGAGAAAAAAAAATTACGAATGTACCCCACTACTTGAAGTCAAATGAAACCGTCCGCCGGTCTTTCGAAGTTCGACGAACGTCGAACTTTTACCCTAAAAGTTCGAAGTTCGTCGAACTTCTGACTTTTCAGAATTCGAAAGTTCGAAACTTTTCGAATTTTCTTGATAAATAAGTTCGAAAGTTCGAAATTAATCGATTTTTTGGTCACTCAAGTTCGGAAGTTCGACATCGAACTTTGCAGCGCAATAAGTTCGAAAGTTCGAAAAAGATCGAATATCTTAGCGTAATAAGTTCGACGGTTCGAAAAGCGTCGAACTTCTTAGCTCAACAAGTTCGAAAATTCGACTTCTGTCGAATTTTACGATGCAGAAAATTCGAAAAATTGAAATCTTTCGAACCTTTCGAACCGCTTGATTCGATCATCGAAACTTCGATTCGAAAAAAGTTCGCGGCATCCCTAGTGGTCATCCAGAGGACGTTCCGGGGTGAAGATGATGAGTTTGCTCCTCGGTTTTAACAATTCTCTGTGCATAGCTTACGGGTTGATTTCTGTTCTTTGGGATCTGTCATTGGGAACGTTATTGGCAAGGGCATCTGCGTTTTCATTCCCTTG